TCCATCCTCTGGGGCAGTTAGAAGCAATTATGCTCAAGGGCAATCTAGAAAAAGTTCAGGATAGTCTTTTAGTTCCTAATTTACATCATGTTGTGTTTAAAACAAAACAGAAAATCCTCAAGTACTAAATGAAGAGCAAGACTGTCGGAAAAGGATGATACAAATATTTTTACAGAAAAACTGACAGCAACAGCCTGAGGACTTCTGGATCTTGTATTTCTTTCAATATGTTCAACTGTGTAGCACCAAACTCTCACTGGAACCACGGTGATGTCACTTCCTAACTCATAAGGTTAACACCCAGTGTTGACCTAAAATTGTCTTGTTATCTATTAAAAAGAAGTATTCAAGTACTAGAGAAAGGTATACTGAATTTTCCTTCTTAAGAGTCTTAAAATCCAAAAATGTAAGATGGTATTTGGTGCCTGCTTGCTTAGGATAAACAAAATAAAGCATGATTATGCTTTAAGATTCCTAGGGTGGAAAGGGACATTTTAAAGAATTTAGTTAAGGAAGGATAGCAGAATGCATTTCCCTTTCTTCCTATCAGGCAGCTTTTTCAATGAAAAAAATTAAGAAACAGACTATCTGAAATTCTGTGGTATATCAGAACTTGACATTTCTTCCTGCCTAGAGATATTGCCCTCTGGAGACAGGAAATGCACACTGGTTTTGGACTTAGCACAGATCTTGGAGAAAAACCAACATCCCTTCTCCACCAGCTCAAAACACTGGAGGGAAAAAACACATTTTTTTTTCTTTCTCCAGCTCAACATTTTCTAGAATCCCTTCCTCTCCTGTTGTTCCTCTCTGAAGAGCTAAAGCACATGGGTAAACTTAAAGCACCCAGCAGTATCTAATTTAGAGCCCAGCCTCAGCACCACCAGGCAATCCCAGACACGAAGGCCAGCATCAGCCAGTCACACCTTCACTGCACCAAAGGGGACAGGGGCTGAACATCACTTCTGTACCTGCTGGCCTTTGAGAACAAAACCCTTCCAGCAGTGTTTTGGGAAGTCTCTGGTGATGCTGGCTCCAAAAAGCTGCTGGAAGGACTCAGTTCCCTCCCTTTGGTAGGTGCAATGCTGGCATGTTCTCTCATCTGGAGTGGACAAACCTCTGCAGGTGAAGGTCAGCCACTCTCTGTTCTCCACAGAAAACTCAGCAAGGCAACAAGCCACACAGAAAAATCTAAGGCTGGTAAACACTGGTTTTCTCACCTTGGGCATCTAAAACATGTGATGTACACAAAGGTAAGAGGCAGTGCACAGAAGCCTCTCAACGTTGCTCCTTGAATGGGCTTCACATGGTAGGAAACAAGAGCCAGAGCTGCAGAGACAAGTCAGCTGAAAGGGCAACACAGGCAGGCCCAGGGGAGAGATCAGTCCCCCAGGCCAGGGGAGCCTGAGGCCCACAGGATGTGCCACATTCTTTCTGAACTTACTTTTAAAATGCTATAAGGACAACAGAAAATCCAATTTTTTTTTTATTCTGCAGCACAAGACACTTGTTTTATCTTGCTGAAATTAAAGTTACCAAAAGATAAGTTATTCAAACCACTATTCTGAGGCAAGAAAAACAATTTTTCAGATTTATCTACTATTTTCATAAAAATTCACAGCTATTACCTGACACTTATTGAGTAACATTAATTTGAGATATTTTAGAGCCTACCAATTAAGAAAAAGAAGGATGTTATTCCTTTCCATTGTTATCAAGTTCAATTGATTCTGGAGACTGCTCTTTGACAACCCATCAGCTCACAGGCTCTGTTCTGCTCTTCCAAAAACACTGGGGGGAAAAAGCCACTTCAAGAACATCGTGGAGTCTACTTTGCCACTGTCTATCCACGTGCTTTAGCCCCTCTGCACATATATTCATGCTATGGGCACCACCAAGGCAACCCAGGTTCTGTTAGTCCTTAAGACAGCTGGTTCTGCTCCCTAGAACTGGATCATCCAAGTCAGGTTTTGTACTCTCAATTTGCAGAAAATGGCATTTGAAACACATCTCTGCAAAGGTGATAAAACATCAAAAGCTGTTGGCCGAGATCAGACACAAGTGGGAACCTGCACCTCCTCTGATTTTAAATTACAGCTAGAAATGTAGAAATGGGAAAAAAAAATCAATTATAAGGAGTCAGTTTTATATTCATCTGAGGATGGGATCACCTGTGATTCCAAAACCTTTGCAAATACAGCAGCACTCCAGTGTGTCACCTCAGAGACTGTTCTGATGTCACACTCCAGTGGAATTAAGAGAAAAAATGCAGCGTATCATGACATACTCAGGTTTCTGGTACTAGGACACAGCAAGCAATGGTTAAGGGCAGCAAGGCATGTGTCCAAACAGGTCTGGCATGAGATGATCCTGAAGATCAGTGAGATCAGCCAAGAAACTGGTTCTTTACAAACACAAACTGGTCACAGGTTAAGATCAGAAAAATCAAGTGACCCAAGTGACAGAAAGACTACGACAAACTGAGCACGGGACACTCCTACAGCTGAACCTCAGCTAAATCCATAACTCCCAAAGCCCCAGCACGGTCTCTGCAAACTGTTCCTAGACTTGGGAACAATCCTTCAGCTGAAATGACTTCGGTCAAAGAATCAGGACTTGGCAGCATTTTAAGGATGAAAGAAACCAAAATGCAATCTCTGGTTTTGCCTTGGACTAATTGCCTGGACTTCCTGAAGAGAAGGAGCAGTAAAAGGGCACCTCTGTTCAAGCCTGTCACAAAGCCAGCAGTGGTGTTTACAGCAAACTTCAGACAGAGCCTGGTGGTAGCCAGCCAAAAAGGCCACAGCTGTGCAACACTGAGGGAAGGGATCCTGGCTGCAGGGACAGCACTGGGATTCTGGGATGTGGCCCCATGGCAACGCGTTTAGGAGAGGACTGACTACCAGGATGGCCAATAACTCCTGCTCTCCAGGCTCAGGTCATGTTCCCTGTGCCACCTTCACTGTCTGGAGAGAACTAACAGGAAAGCCATGACTGACAGCAGGACTGCTCACTCTGCAGAGGGGGGAAACTAGGGGAGCCTATTAAGTGCTTTAACTTCTCTCTGCTGCACACTACACACTCCCTCAAGAGGAAGATAAAGAGAAAAATCTTTGCAGCCAGTGTTTTTAAAGGAATTGAAATAACTTGGCCTAGATGTGTAATTTTGTAGCTCATTTTACAGAAAAATAAAAGAAATGGCTTTAAGATGATGTTTTTAAAGAAAGACTACTTCTCATTAGGACACTACTGGAGTAGGGACACTACAGGAATACAAACATCAGGAAGTGACTATCAGTGACAGGGATCAGAAGTTCTGAATCCCATTTCCAGGAAGTGACTATCAGTGACAGGGATCAGAAGTTCTGAATCCCATTTCTAGCTTCACATTCTCCACAAAATCTCAATCTCACCAGTAGGTCTCAAAAACATACTACTCAAACATCACTCTAGATTTTTTTCACTAAGTTGACCCTTATCCACTGTCATGGGTAGGGGTAAACAGGTAGATTCAAAGGAATTAACAAGAGCTTAATTCTCTAACACACCTGGAAATCACGTACTGTACCTATTTAACCTGCTGCACAACCGTGTCAGATTTTCAATTCATTCAGTTGAGTCAGATTGGAAAACCTGTGACCAGACACCAGCGCTTTCTACAGGACAAAACATGGTTTGTATGAAAATATGGTTTGCAAAAAAATCCCTCTTGTGAATAAAAGAGGCTGGTTGTAGTGGAAGGCCAGCTTTGCTAGGGTATACAAGAAGGGTGAAGGACAAGTGACATTGTCCTCCTGGGTTGCCACAGTGGTGGGAGCCCCCTTGTACCACATTACTCTGGTTCTGAAGGTCACACTATGCCTATCACAACTTCGAGTGCTGTGCCTGAACATGTATTAAAATATTCCATACTAATGAAGCAAAGAATTAATGGTTTGCAATTTAGGGCTGGGGGAAGGTTAAAGTAAAAAAAAAAAAAAAAAAAAAAAAATAGGGAGGATTTTGTTTCCTAAGCAGGAAAGTCTACATTAATAATTTTCCCAGCAGGCCTTCAGTAGTTTTACTGCAAACAACCACAGCCTTTGTTTCTCAGATCCTCTTACATGTGACGTTCGATCAAAGCCCTCACATCAGCAGCTCACCAAGGGGAAAAAAAAAGAAGTGTGAACTACTCTTGGGTTCCAGAGCTGTCCTCAGAGCTGGTTTAACAGTGCAGCTCTGCAGCCACTCAGCTAAAGCACAACCCAGTAACTCTTCTCTGAGAAGCGAGAGCTTCAGTGAAAGCAGCTCCCTTTGCCACAGCCATCAGCGAGCCACCTGATCTGCACTGTTCACTGCTGGGCTTTCCACAGTCCCGGGACTGATTCCATGTTCCCACAGAGGAGCAGTGTGGCCATGGCCAGGTCTGTGTTTCTGGGCAGCAGGAGGTGTTCAGAACCCCCTCCTGGTAACGCCACCGCTCCGCAGCTCGGGACCAACCCCCGGGGAACCAGTGGCACTGCAGAGCAGCAAGGGAGACACAAGAGTTCCTCTCCTCACCTAAACAAACAGCACTTGACACTGGTTAGAGAGAAAGCACCAGAGAACAGTGTGTGGCTTTTCAGCAGCAATATGGGAACTTCTCCACTCAACTTTTCCAAGAGAATTTTGGCCTTTTCAACTTTCGTGTAAAGCTTTAGGATTATACAAACCTAAAAAATGATCTTGATGAAGGAGGTGAGGGGGAAGGCAGCCCTTCTCCAAGTAAGTGTTGGAGGATTTCTCCTTGGCTGCTAAGGGTTTGTGTTGGGTAAAGAAAGGCTCCTAACAAACCAGCATTCTTTTCCACATGATCAGAGTTAACCGGCCCCCCTGCAGGCAAAATGACCAATCAAATCAGCCTCAGAGGAAAACCAGCCCCCCAGCACTATAAACACAGGAATGAGACATACAAACCCATTTTCAAAGGGTTTTGGTGGGTTTTTTTAAATCTCTACCAGCCACTTGTGGGAAGTTTCTTGCCAGTGGTGGGACCAATACACCAGAGCAGCCCAGTCCCTCTCCTGGAGCCCAGGTTACCCCTTCCTCCTGCACACAACCCTTCAAAGACTGGTAAGTAAACAAAACCATATTTTTCCCTCCTCTTTCTTATTGTACCATTTGAAATTGTTCTGTCATTCTTTAATCAAAGAAATCGAAGTAGTTATCAGGGGAGAGAGTTTTATTTCTAAAGCGTGCTGAATTAACTGTTATCTTAAAGAAAATTATTTGATTTCTCCCCCTCAAAAAGAAGAAAATGCTTTCTCAGGTGACCACGGTCCCAAGAGCACAAAAAGCAATATCAAAGGCATTATACAGTATTTTTTCAGAACATTTTTGAGAGAAGCAGTGCTGGAAAGACTCTGCAATGCTCTGCAGACAGGGAGCATTTGCAAGTCTCCAGCTCAGGTAGCTGGGTGTTATGAGACCGGTCAAGTGTCAGGAAAACATCCTCCCCCCCTTGCTGCATTCATCATAACTCAGCATTTCACTTCAGTTCCCTCACAAATTAAAAGAAATGAGCTTCCTACCTGCTCAAGCCTGATTTACCATCCCTGTATCTCACACCTTCAACAGTTTTCAGTCAGTGCATCCCTGTGCTCGTGGACACACTGAGTCAGCACAGGAAACCACACTTGGGCATAAAGGGAACTCATCCCGCCTGGAAAACCAGTCCTTGCAGGCAAATCATGGGGAATTCTGCATCAGACAGGGCAGGACTGCTCCTCAAAAACAGCTCACTCCACACTGTATGGGTGGCTGCAGACTTCTAGTGCTACAGCTTCACATCAAATACAATCCTCCCTCCTAACTGTCAAATGACTCCTCCATTGGCAATATTTCATTTGGCATTTTTGTTTCTTTATAAGGAATTAACACATGCTAGCATATTTTAAAGCCTTTCCCAAAATGTTAAGTTTTTCTGCTTCTCTAAAGGTGGTCAGACTAGTTGGTCCTCTCAGATGCTACCTCACAATCAAAAATTAAGTGTTCATATGGGTCCTCAGAGTACTACTGTGAAAATACATTATACACAAAATGGAGCATTATTTGGATTCCCAAAAATCAAGTCTATAGGCAGCCTTGTTTTCTGTACTATGAAGGGAGACATAGTCTCCCACTATTCTTTAAAGTGCATTCTGTAGTAAGCTGTCACAGAAAGCCAAAAGTACGAGCTCTCACACCCTGGACTTTGTGGCACTTGCTTTGAAAAATGTGACTTGGGCTCAACAAATTCAAGTTCCCATTTTCACAAGACCTACTTATAAATGTAACAAGTCCTGAAAACTGTTATCTTAATTCTGCAAATCGCTCAGAAGTAACAGCTTTGTCACAAACTATTCCCATTCATCTCAATGAGGCACCAGCTACAAAATCTAAAGGACAAACCTTTGAAACCTTAACTGTCCTACTCACAACAGCAGCATAACCAAAGCAGTTACTGAAACTGAATTGCTTCCTACATTTCTAAAATTGTCCCCTGCTGTAAGTCATATGATTCAGTCATGTCATCCATACTGAAAAAACCTTCATTTCCTAATATTAATGTCAGAGCATCTCAAAGGTTGCTCCAGTCTACAGACAACAATATGCAATAATCTAAATATACCACTACACAAATAACCATTTTAATAGAATCAAAGTGCCTTCAAAAAAAATCCAGTCTCAGTTTGTTCTCATTGCAAAGCACAGAGGCAGCAACACATCTGAGAGATCACAGCTCAGAGCAACCTTTCAATCTCAAACTTGTCCATGATTATGCAGACCCAGGTCAAGTAAAGAGGGAATGTATACATTCCCAGAGGGTGATGCTGCCACCACCACCTGCTTCTAGCAAATCTTCCCATTATGCTGCAGTTGGAAGCAGTTCTGGCAGTCACTCCCAGCAAACAGCAGGTCCTCTTGACTGCTTTGCTGTCAGAAGGAAGCAGTGCAGCACCAACTGTCTCCAAAGCCCTCTGAGGTCAGCTAGAACACAGTTTGTTAAGGGCAGGAGCTGGGCAGGCAGGGCAGCAACTCACAAGTGTCCCCTGAACACAGCTCCTCCTAAAGACACCCAGGCTCCAGAAAGGGCTGCAGGTGCATCAAGGTATTGAGCTGAAAACAGGCTGGAAGGGTCACTTCGAATGCCTTCACCTGAGAAGGCAAATGAAAAGTGCTCCAAATTAATTCCCCTACAACCCTGAGTTAAAATAGCTGAGTTTGTGCTGCCAAGAGAAAGGCCAAGCAAGAGGAGAGGAAAGCAAGGTGGTGGCATGGAACAGGAATGTAATAAAAACCGTTACAACACCAGGAAGAAGATCTCAATCAAAAAGGCAAAGCGTGGGAGATCAGTGTGCTGGATCATGAATTTCAGAAATTCATACCTACAGCCTAGAGCTGTTTTATTACACATAAATCATTAGCTAGCCAGGTCAGTTTAGAACCTGCCCCACTGCTAGGAGCAGGAACCCGTGACTTCTGATTTAAAAAGTCCATGTTTACCCTACCTTGACTGGTTTTAGAAAAGTGTATAGAAGAAAGGAGCCAAGATGAGGAACAAGGTGGTAAAAAGATGGAAAACCAGAAAAAGCTAAGAGCTGACATACACACTGGCCTTGGTGACAATTTAGTCTTCAACAGACTGGCAACAGGAAGGATTAGACAGAATGAATGCTTGGTGAAAGATTGGTCAAGATGCCAAAAGAGGTTTAGAAAAGTAATTTCTGACAGTTCCTGTCTTTCCAGTCAGGGGCTATCAGCTGGGAGATGGAGGGACAAGGAACACCCCAAAGCTACAACAGCAGGAAACAACAGGAAAGGCAGAACTAAACAAACAGCACAACAGAGGTGGTTAAGAGATAACAGGGGAGCAATGTGGATGAGAAACAGTATGTCTGTACCAGTGGAGACAAGCATTCTCCAACAAACAATGCAGAATTGTTCTTTCCAAGTCAAAGTTGAGCGTCTTTCCTGAAACACACACTGTTTGAGATTGGGATTTACCTGGGGACATCAGGGACCATGCCAGGCAGGGGATCAGATCAGGTGTTGGTTTGTTTTACTACAGTGGGCAAGGAAGGGAGCAGACAGAAGACAGTAATTCCTTTTAAATTCTAAGTCACATCTGCTCTTAAGTGGTCTCTGCTTTTGAGAACATAAAGGATCAATCCTCCAGCCTGTGATTTCTCACAGGGCAGCTGTTCTTTCACCTCTCTCACCCATTTTCTCACCCCAGCAAGTTGAGGCTCATGGCCTTTAATGCCATCAACAGTGTTCGCAGAAAAACAGTTTTGGAACTCAGGCATTTCCAATGCTATCACTGCCACTGAATTAGATACATAATATTTAAAACAGTCCTAGACTATAAAAAACAGGTCTATATCAAATGAACCAGTGCATAACCTGGTTAAGCTCAGCAGGCAAACTCCCCAGCCAGGATGCTCAAGGAGCAGAGACACAGCACTGTTCTGAGACCTGCTGCTGGGGGGAAGAGAGGTGCTCTCTCACACACTACCCCAGCACTGTGCAGATCTGCAGCACAGCCAAGAAAAATGGACCATGTTAAGCACATATGTCTGTAGCAGTGCAGAACCAGGCCCCAAAGCATGGATGTGTGCATGGAACGCTGCAGGATCAGGCCCCAGTCAGTCAGTATCACATTCATTCTCACAACATGGGTTTGTTTTGCAAACTTAGATTGCTTGGAGGCTACAAAGCAGATGCTGTCCTCCAAGTACCCTGAGAATTTACAGAAACACAGAGGTTTTGGGGGTTTGGGGTTTTTTCCCAATAACGCGTGATGTTTACACCCAGAGGCATTTTGTTCTCTGTGTTCTCCTCTGTTCACACAAGTGTTTCTTGTCAGTACTGCCTTGGTAAAACCAAGGCACTGTTCCCAGCTCCCTATAAGCCTGGTTCCCACCACCATTCCCATTCAGAGATGCCCGTTTTCCAGCTCCTTCAAGGCATCCAGAAGGGCTCCTCTACATCTTAGCACAAGGACTCTGCTCTGCAGACCAGTCACTAATCATCTGATTACTGGAGCATTTCTAATTGCATTCAGGTTACTGTAAAATCTGTGAAAGTGCAGCAATAGTGAGAACTGTCATTTAGGGAGCTGTGCAGCAGATTAAAGAGCAAACTCAGTGCAGGGGGGCTGAAAGGGCTCTGATCAGAATGGACTATGACCAGAATGCCCAAGAAAAGTGGCCTGGTACCAGAGATCACTGTATTCTTTGGCACAGGGAGCAGTTTGAAAATATTCCTTCTAGGAGATGTGAACTGGAAAATAAAAATGAAGGGAAACCTACCAAATCCCACCCAGGTCATCAGCTACCCTACCTTCTTTGACTAGAGCATGGATAGAAGTAAGAGCAGGACACTTCTGAGAATCTACAGCAGGGAAAGAAAGTAAAATGAAAATTTAGCTAAATATTCACTCTAATTCACTCTAACTAAATATTGACATATTTAGCTAAATATGTCAATCCTCCTACTCCTACCTCAGTAGGAATTAAGCATTAGAAAGCAAAAGAGAATGTTCTGTAATTACTAAAATTTGGTATGAAGATTAAATAAACAGTCATGGAAACTGCTGGCTTATGGAACCAAAGATCACAAGACAGATTTTTACCTTCCATAAACTTCTGAAGTTCAGTATCCTCACATACAATGTGTTTCAAGAGAAAACTAAGACGGTACTCTTGGAGGGAAAAAGATCCACTTCGTCTAGATGTTTGTAAACGTGCATTACACACTGAAATAGTCTAATTCAGAGAAAGGTCAAAAGTGATAGGAAACCAAAACTGACTAAATACTCCCTGTATAATCATGATTTGCAGAATATGGATGTATTTTTAAATCCTCTGCTGTTCTACAAACGAGTTTCCTCACCACCTTCTTTAAGCAGGTGGTACACATTATTAACTCTATTTTATATAAACCCCAGGTGAACTATAAACATCCAGTATTTATAAAATTTATGGATTTGAGTGACCGGTGTCTTTTCAAAAGACATTCAGCACCTCTGGCAAATTCAGCAAGCTCTGAGGTTTAAAAGGAACCAAAGGAGCCCAGCATGCCAAATACCTACAGGAACCCATTCTGCTTCCCACATTTGCAATTCCACCTTAACTCCCATATGCCGGCTGTCCTATTTTCTTATTTGGTTACTAATAAAAATGGCACTGCTCAGGCAGACTAGACTGCAAATTATGTCACGGTGTATTTTCTGCATTGGTCCCCTGCCCTCCTTTTACCTGATCCTTACATAAACAGCCTCAGCCTCCCTGAAGCAGCTCTGCCCTGAATACTGTAGTTCTCTTTAACTGGACATGGTGGGTGCAGACAGCAGACATTTCCAGAGCCAGGGAAGTCTGAAAGGGCTACTAGCTTAACTACAGCATTCCTTTAAAATGCATAAAAATATGTCAGAGAAATAACAGGATAAACATTATCTCCATAGTACTACTGTTAGTAGTATTCACAATAGTATTGGTAAGTTACTATACTCCGCTGAAAAGTTACAAAACCTGATATAATCAGACAAAACCCAGTTTCTTTTCAGATACAGTATGCTAAGCACATCCCACTCACCCCCAAAGAATTAAACCATGTGACTCCAATGTACATTTAGGAAGGTAAAGTATGAAAGTTATATTTAAACAACTAAGCAGGGAAAATTTGAGAAGTACTCAGATTTTTAAACTTAATCTTTTTTAACAAAGTATTACCACAAACAGTGGTAAATTCCTCTCCAGGCTCCTGACTTAATCTTCTCTGGATTGCAATGTATAAGCCCTCCTTTGTTGGCTGCAGTATTTCGACCCCTGCTGATGTGTCAAAAACTGTGAGCGTTAGGCAAAATACAAACATGCTGCACTGTCTCCCTTCCGTTCCTTTTCCCTCCTTCCCAGCCCATGACGACGGACGTGCTGGAGAGCAATAACACCAAGGCCAGCGCTCCCCTGCTGGCCCAGCGGCACCTGCGCATGGTGACCAAGGACGGGCACAGCACCCTGCAGCTGGACGGTGCCCGGGGCAGGGGCCTGGCCTATCTGCGCGACGCCTGGGGGATCCTCATGGACATGCGCTGGAGGTGGATGATGCTCGTCTTCGCCGCTTCCTTCGTCCTCCACTGGCTGGTCTTTGCAGTGCTCTGGTACCTGCTGGCTGAGATGAACGGGGACCTGGAGCTGGACCACGATGCTCCCCCTGACAACCACACTATCTGTGTCAAGTACATCACCAGCTTTACGGCTGCTTTCTCCTTCTCCCTGGAGACGCAGCTCACGATCGGCTACGGCACCATGTTCCCGAGCGGGGACTGTCCCAGTGCCATCGCACTGCTGGCAATCCAGATGGTCCTGGGGCTCATGCTGGAAGCCTTCATCACAGGTAAGCCTTCCCAGTCCATCCTTAAACAGAACAGGTGGAACAACTGGGCTGGAGGATGGAGCTAGAAATACTGATCATTTGGATAGATGAAAGAACAACTAAGGCAGTCACTACGAGGATGGTGAGATTCCAGCTATGTAGGACTAAAACACCTTTCATTAACAAAAGGCATAAATTAGCTGATATCAAGATCTGGACTTGATAGTTCCGGTATTCACTGGACAATACTTGTGGCAAATCCCTGCTTATCACTCTCAGTCACTTATTTCTTATACCATTATCTCTCCAAGTTTTTTCTATATAATTACAATATTTAAAAAGTCTATTTGTTTTGATTTTTAAGGCAAACTTTTTTCTAGCTGAACTATTTTCGTAGTTGAAACTGAAGTTGATCTTCAACTCAGCGTTCAAGTATTCCTCAGTACCCAATGTAATGAAGATGTTACAGTGTCACAGCTATTCTGAAGTATCTTCAGTTATTTTAAATAATTTTCAGGTTTAAAGTCATTCAAAATACTTTAAAAATACATAGGTTAGTTTACTGTGTACTAGAAAGAGCTTCTATGGTGTAACACACCGAGATCAGGTACTATTACAAAGGACAGTAACTCAGAGCAAGCTGACAGCTCTTCTTACAGCTCCAGAACCCTTCCCAATATAACACAGCTTAGGAAAAGCAGCATTTTAGGCAACTCTACTCTTTTAAACCCAAGTGGGTTAGTGCAATGCCAGCCCAGCAGTTCTCAAACACAGTCCTTCCAGCCTGCATGTCCCCCCAGGCCTGCTCCTGCTCCCTTGGCTGTCTGGAGGAGCTGGGAGCTGCAGGAAGCCCCCAGGCCCTGTGCTGGCCCCTGAGCTTGTTCTCTCCCGCGATCCAGGTGCGTTCGTGGCCAAGATCGCCCGCCCGAAGAACCGGGCGTTCTCCATCCGCTTCACGCGCTCTGCCGTGGTCACACATCCCGAGGGGAAGCCACACCTCATGTTCCAGGTGGCCAACACTCGCTCCAGCCCCCTGACCAGCGTCCAGATCTCTGCTATCCTGTACCAAGAGCAGGAGAACGGGCAGCTGCACCAAACGAGCGTCGACTTCCACCTCGACAGCGTTACTGCGGCCGAGTGTCCTTTCTTCATCTTCCCGCTGACCTACTACCATTCCATCTCTCCATCCAGCCCTCTGGCTGCCCTCCTCCAGAGAGAAGCTCCTCACCACTTTGAGCTGGTCGTCTTCCTGTCAGCTGTGCAGGAGGGCACGGGAGAAACGTGTCAAAGGAGAACGTCCTACCTGCCCTCCGAGATCCTGCTGTCCCACCGCTTCGCCCCCGTGCTGGCCCGCAGTGCCCAAGGTGAGTACCACATCCAGATGGAGAACTTTGACAAGACTATTCCTGAGCTCCCGGCTGCACCTGGCTCCAAGAGCCCCAGGAGGACTGACAAGGAGATCCGCATCAATGGGCAGCACGCTGACAGCTTCCAGCTCTCCGAGACTGGCCTCACAGAATAGAGAGAACAGACTGTGGACTTGGGGCTTTTTTTAATTATTATTACATTAAACTTTCAGGTTCCATTTACAACCTTCCCTCCTTGCCTGCCCTGCCATCTTCTAGTGATCCTTCTCTTGTCCTTCCATCCTTTTGATTACAATGTGACACAGTGAAGAGAACGTGAGTGCCCCGAGAGGCTGGATGAGCCACCCAGGATGAAGTCGGGTACAAGAACCACGGTACTAACATCAGAAGAGCTACTTGCTGAATTTCCCAGACTGTGATTAATGCCACACTGACCCCAAAAGGAGAGATCTTCAAAACTCCCAAAGATGACCAAAATCATACTTCACCAGCTTGTGACAAAATGGACAACAACATAAAAGCAATATGGGGTCACTCAGTAAATGCATTAGTTCTGCTTTAAGTAACTCTGTTCATCCAAGATACCAGTTTTTCTGTTCTCTTAAGTCTTTGGGAATACAGTTACATCACTTTTCAGAGGGCTGAATTCACTCTCAGAAAGTCCTGCCAATCTCTCGTGGCAGTGAAAAGCACTCCTGCTGTGCTTATTAAGTAAAACTGTAAATACTAAGTGTAGTTCTTCATTCTGCCAAGTAAAAGAACATCTCGTTTCCAGACAGATCTATGAAGACACTATCAAAAAATCTTGATATATATGACAAAGGCTGCAGTGGAAATTTTTTCATATTTGGAAACACTGAATAAATTATTTAGCAGTGGCAAACAGACTATTTTTAATGAATGAATGTACTTTTTTTTTTAAAGACCCATACATTGCCCATATTGTCACTGCTTGTCTGCAGTACATCTGACCCAGAGGGATGCACTATATCTAGGAGAAGTAGAACCACATCCATTTATATTTTATGCTTTTTAACATCAATATTTGCCTGTACACACAGCACAAAAATATTTAGAGACACTTGGATCAATTTTGAAATAAAAAATTAAAACAAACCATACGTGAGACTTCTGTATTTAAGTGCCTCATAAACCTGCTGCAACTAAGACACTGTTCTGAAGCTCCTAAATAATTTAAGATGCTAAAGGAAAAACAGAATGATGAATAATTATTTCCAAGCTCTCGACAAAAGCAGTGCCTGTCAGGTGTCCAAAACCAGGCCTGTTAGGTACCTGGTCAGTCAAGTATTAAAATAAAGCTACCTTTCAAAGCTAGAAGACTTTTCCCAGAAACCCAGATGGCATAAATAGCAACTTTCATTGCCAAGAGCATAACGCACTAACAAATACGCCTCCTTTTAACTTCCCCAAGTGGTCAGCAGCAGGAAAAACGGGCACAAGCTGTCTGAGGAGGTTCTGTTTAACTGAACTCTCCTCAAGTCCCAAAAGGGGCAAGGAGGAAGCTCCTGGTGTAGAGTCTGGGGATGGGGAGCAGCCCCCCAGCCCCACTGCACAGGCAGGGCCATGAGGCAGAAGGGCTGTGCTTCTGCTGCAACTGAGCTCTCACTCCAAAGCTGTTCAAGCACTGCCTCCCCCACTGCAGACCTCAGACAGAGCTGGGTTATCACACACTCTCAAAATCTGTTTCAAATTTCATTTTATGGACAAGAATTCATGAAGATTGTGGAGCTCAGAGAGCAGCACACCACCAAGTTACCCTGCCTTCATCCCTGCTTTTCTGAGCTGTTGGCCCACATACCATTTAAAAGTCCCTTTTCCAGTCTTGTGTCAGCACCAATAACTTTTAAGCATTTCTTGCAAGTGTTTTTTCCACATTCACGACCAATATAAGACATTGATAAGAGTCCTACAAATTAAGACCCAGTGCAAGAGCATAGAACAGATCCCTGAGTGAAGTCTGAACTAACCACTTAGAGCAGCATTCTGGGTGAGGTATTGAGAATATTCTGTTTGACAGCATTCTGGGTGAGGTACTGTTTTTCCCATATATCACATACTCTGGTCTCAGACAAACCAATTGTTCTCAAATTCACATGTATAATCCCAACAGGACAGGATTATAATCTCATGATTTAGAGCCAAAGCTATAAAAAGCTATTTCTAACTTCAATTAACATCTAATCAAAGTGCAGGTTGCTTCATCTGATTTCTGAATTATGTGATACTTAAAAGTTATCCTGTTTTTAAAATAATTTTCTATTTACAGACTTGGTTTAAAAGGGGGTACAACAGCAAGTATAAAGAAAAAATATGTTTAGTACGCGCTACGTGCAATCCTCAAATATTTCATTTTGGAATGTAAAGCTGAATAATACTAAGGAAGCAAATCAGACAAAGAACTTGGTAGTTACTTCAGAACAGCTGCAGAACAAGGGGTAGAAAAAACACTGATATTGCTTTTACAGTTCCAGAGAACTGGTGAACCACGGATGTCTGAAAGCACTGGAAACGTGCCATGGCCCAAACTGGAAGAGGAGCCCTGGAAAACTGCTGATGGGCTCTGGTGCCACAGCACAGCACCCTGTGCTTCAGCACTGCAAGAGCAGACTGGGGCCCAACCTTCATGGATGCACCTCCTGCCACGAGGCAGGCAGGAAAACAAACCAGGCAGAGCAAGGGCAAGTGCAATTCAAAGAAACCCAGCACCCTTTTCTTGTAGCCACTTCCACACACATTTTATATTCCAGTCTTGTTAACCTAACCAAACCCCACACGTTAAACAGAACTCAATCAGGCTCCACAACTGACTTGCTAGAAGTTCTGTTTCATCTACATAACAATTATTTACTACCAGTGTGTAACTGCTGGTAACTAATCAAATCCCCTCAGCTGCTAAGCTGGTATTAGTCGAGAGGCTGCACGGAAAATTAAGCAGCTTTTGTGCAGAGACAGCCGTGCTCAAGAAAACAACTTGCTCATTTTCTTTGCTAAAGGCCTGGGCCTTCCAGAAACCATTTGGGTTCTCAGTGAAGACCATCAGAACTGTGACAATCTGCAACAGCAACTCCCAAATACTTTGTGCATCCCCAATTTGCAAACTGAAACCAGGGACAGATACTGTCTATGTTGAGAATCAGTCAAATGTGACCTTGCAAACTACTGTGAGCACTGAAAAAGCAATCATTAATTTTTAAGAACAGCATACTGATAATTTCTGAGAAGTAATTCTTTGTTGAAGGTCTATCACTTTTTTCATCCCGTGATTTTTAATCGAGAGGTTCTTGCCTTGGCATCCATTATGAATGTCCAGAAGGCTTTAATATTTGATCTCTGTAGTGTGATCATCCACAACAAAGGACATGAAAAAGTTGGCAACTCAGTAAATTATGTAATCTGAGGCTAATCCAAGGCCCTGTGAAGGACCAATGAAAAACTGAAGCACAGTAAAATCAGATAATAAAATCCTAAACTAAGGAGTTTAACCAGAGTACCAGAATCCAAGGCATCTGCTAAAGCACATCAGCCTGAATTCCAGGTTGCATGTCAGTGCCCTCCCCTGAGCGTGGACACCAAGTGCTTGTATTCACTGGGACTTCTGGTGGCACATCTGTAACCCTCCTCACACTCAAAATATCGTGTCATTGGAAAGCCTTTACAGAACAGAAACTATTTGTAATTAACCAAGGCTTGAGTCAAACAGACCAGCACTTCGTTAATATTTCTGTGCTCTCCACCTTATTTCTCTCTGAAGGTAGAGGGGAGCAAAATGGTCTTCCAACCCATTGGGACATAAACCTCTAACACAGCAATACACAAACGTAAATTACTGTTGTGAAAACAACATTTTTACAAAAAAACCTCCAGAAAGATTGCAGGGCTCCTTCCTGTATCATACTGAGCTACAGAGCCTTTAGTCACCTAAATCAGACGAGAAGAGAAACAACACCAGACTTCAGAGGAGCAATCAGGTACCACAAAAAGCTTCCTAACTTAAGAATAAGCAGTCATCCCTCGCAATCAACTTCCAACAAATCACACAGGGACACCATCTCCTCCAGGAAATGGTTCCTGGCAGATGCATTCCACAGTCCTGCTTCCTAGGAGTTGCTACAAACAAGACCTGCTCTGTCCCAGCTGCAGATAACCTCTGGCAGAGGTTAAGCTTCAGTAAGATTATGGTGCACACTGCAAATTCTTCTCCATTTCAACAGAGATACACCTCATCCTATACTGACATGCAATATTTTTATCCATCTTTATCAGAAATGTAGTACATTCTATAGTCTGGAACTGGAAGTGCTGTAACTTTAATCACAAGAACAGGAAGGTGGGTACTACTTTTACACCTGTTTGTCTTCTGTAAAAATTGCAGTCCTGAAATCTCAGTAGTACTTGGTTTCTCCTGTTTTCTTTTTTTCCCAGAAGTTCTCTAAATATACACATACAGAGTCCAAAGTGTCACTACTGGCATTTCAAAATGAACAATCTCAAACCAATCTCAAGTTATTTTTTGGAAGTATCCTCTTTTTAAAGGAAACAATGAGGAAAACATGCAACATCTTTGTTTTGTGTTAACATTCAACTTAACAAGCAGAAAAATAAAAGCACTCTTTAAAATCTATGAACATCAACTCCTACATGGAGATAGGACTGGGAGGGCTTTGAAAGCACAGATGATAATTTAAGACTCCTATGGTATGTGCCACCATGCACATCTGGAAAATTATTCATATGGCAATTTATGCTACTCTTGCTAAAAATACTGTCAGCTAAGCAAGGACTAAAATACAGTCCCGTCACCTTTTCATTGTCTGTCTTTACATCCAACCTGCAGTTGTCTGTCCTGATCTGTGCTTTATCAGTATGTTCACCAAAGAGGGACTCAGCCTTCAGCCAAGACCAAGAGATTCTCTGGGTCCCAGACAGACAAGCTCTTACTGTACAAAACCTGTCACCAGGCACAGCTGAGCTCCATGCTCATGGAAACATCCGTGGAGAAGGAACAGAGTCCCCCCAGAGAACACTCAATGCATGAGCCCACAAAGCAAAAGTCACTGCCATGACCAGAGAGCCACAGTCTCCTTCAGTGTCCTCCCCACTCTCCAAACACAGGTTTTACCCAAATGTCTGTGTTCCAGCCCCAAGATGACAGACCCACTCCAACTCAAGCTGAACGTTCAAACAGAAGCACAGGGCCACAGTTAAGGATCCAGCATTCTGCCTGAACATGGCCCATGTGAAGCATTTCAGAAACAGGAGAGGAGAGGAACAGCAGACAGGGGACCAGGTGATAACCTGAATGAACAGGAGGTTCATGTGATGACTTACACTAACTTGATACCCAGTAAATCCACCAGCACGGGAGCCTCGGGGTGCTGCTGCCGGGATCTCCCTCACGCTGGCAAGCGTTCAGAAAAATTAACTGTTCACAAGGTCAGCAAGTCCTGGGTGCCAAAACAGCCCACACCAGGCACGTTTCAAAGCTGCCCTGAAAAGGGCTGTTGTCACAGCACATCTGTTCACCAGCACAGCCCCTTTCCCAGGGGTACAGGAGCTTAGTTCCAGCTGTAGACTTCATCTTCATTGAATAAACAGAACCTACTCACTGTAGATTTTTCTTATCTACAACATTCAAATGTCCAATAGTGAAAACAACACAAAATAGGAGAACCAGCACTTTGAGAGCACACTTAGATAACCTGGCACAGTATCATCAATCTTGTATCAACAGTATACTTGGAGCAATAAGAAAGGTTTATGTATGTACAGATCCCTTCCCCAAACACACCCTGCTCCTCCCTCCCACTTTCTGCCCACACAGTAACAAAACCATACCTGGATCTTTTCGCCCTGGTTTTTCA